AATCGAGCACTCGTCGCACGCATTTCCAATGTCCTTTCACGGAAAGCTGCTCACTGATACAGCCACTTGTCTAGTCGAGAACTTGGGCATCGATTCGGATGAAAAGGGTTGATGCGATCGGGTGAAGATTATCGGATATTTGCAGAGCATTACTATCCTTACGGGATCAACAATACTCATCCTCGTGCAAAAAGTTACCTCCGAATCACGCGTACTAGAAATAAAGTATACGTCGGAAATGAGATTTTTTTTCTCTTAACAAGAACTCGAATCGTTCTACCGTTAAATTATTATAACCACTCCATTCTGCATTCCATTACAATCGTTTTCTTTTCGTTCGAATTCATTTTGTCCATACACTTTTTTTCCAATCAGATTCTATATAATGCTAGATGGTATTTCATTGATTTCGAAATGAAGACATTCAAAGTCAACTCAGCAGAAAACAGCTAAGATAACAAAGCAATGGCCAGACAATACCGTTAAGTTCGAAGGTTTTTTAATGAATTTTCGCATTGAGTTTCACACTTGTTTGGAGGTTACGGAAAGAAGAGAAAAGAATCCATCTAGGTATTAAACAGAATTTCTACATTAGTCGTCAAACTTTTTCTTGGGGTAGCAATAAGCTGATGGAACATCCCAAACGTTCGTTATACGTCCTATGCTATCCAAACGGTCTCCGGAAAGAAAGCGTCTTTCTCTTCACCTCATGCCGGAATGAATAGGTTATGATAGATGAGGGATGAAGGCTGAGAGATGCGAGCTAGGATAGTGGAGAAAGGAGAGTGCAGGCAGGAGGTTACGGACGAGACTCTCGAGTCTCATTTATCCGTTGCCGGATAGAGCCGGACATTGTTCGTGCACCAGGATGAACGTGCACGACTATTGGTTCACTTTTCTTTCTTCCTCCTATCCTCTCTCTCTCTCTCTCTCTCTCTCTCCTTTCCTTACTTCTCTTCGTACATATCTTTCTTGTCCTTCAACTCGCTCGGCGCTACTCAGTTTTGTCAGACTTTCCTCGGATTTTCTCTTCTCGCTTGTTTTCCTCGCATTCGGCTTAACGATAAGCTAACAAAATAATTTCGACCATCAATCTCCCAAGCTGTTTTCGTCCCTTCACTCGGATTCTGCGACCCACGCTCGAAGAATTCACAAAAATTAAAAAACAATGATCACCGCATCCGCCAATTTCCATCGACGTCAGCATCCTCGTCGTCGTTGAAACGGGCGCTGCCGCGTTGAAAGAGAACTGGATTACGAGGGGGTTAGCGGCCTCATTATGCCGAGTACTGCCTGTCATTTACGCCAAGTTACCAAGATTTCTCTAGCGCTCTTCAACCTTCGCTACCTGCACTCGAGGCTGCGACCGACTATAACATCATCGCCAACGCCAACACTGGCTCCCCTGGTTGGTTCTTGGTTCGGGGTGCTACCTTCCACTACTCGTGACATGCGGTCTCCGTCAGCTCAACGTACGACGGCAGGGCGGCCCTCTACTCTACATGTCTGGCTGCCTGCTGCACGCAAGACTTACGAGGACCTTTAACAACTTCCAACTCACTCTTCGTACATTGTGCCAAGGTTTATCAAATAATGATATCAAGAGACGAGGCAAGTTTTAAAGTAAAAAGACAAATTTCGAGAAACAGCTATGCAGTATCGTTGGCCATCGATAATAATAAAATCGATACCACCGATCAACGAATGCGTGGAAGGAAGCCGTGTTGATGATAACTTTTCCATCAGGCTACTCGAATGATAAATTAAATCAAAGCTATGTAATGTATCACTTCTTTTTTTATCCTGGAACGGCGAATATGCGGGAAGAGGATAGTGCTCTTTCAGAATGCGCCAGCCAGTAAATATGAGAGCTCTTTTGCCTCAAGGACCATCAGACACGAGAACAACATTCGCCACATACGTTACATGCACAGTATTCAAGATCAAAGGAGATTTTCGAATAATCACAGAAGCAGCCTGTAACGGTTGCGTAGTCTCTCGTTGCTGATTTATAAAAAAAGGAATGTTAAACTTCAGCGAATCACTTAAATGAATGCGAAGAAGTAAGGGGAAATGGTATAGTGAAATTACAATAAGGAGGTCCAGCTTGATCGTACTTTTTTTTCCTGCACGGAGCACAATGGCTTGGCAGAGTCAACACACGAGCGGATTGTGCGCTAGCGGCACCAGTATCCTCTAGATTTCTCAAGGGATCTACGAACTTGGACCGAACGTAATGTCCATCCAATTGACATCCCTCCAACGTCGCGTGCTGCCTCGGAGCTCCGAGGGGGATGAGGATTGAGTCTCGTGTCACGTGACGTGGCCTGGTTTTCCTGTAATACGGTGGTAACGCGACCCATTTGATGTCGCCGCATGCGAAAGAGAGAATCCAACCAAACTTTCCCTTCAAATTTGACAAGACGACGATGTTTCGGAAACAAAAAATTCTTATCGCTCGACAAATCGCTCGACTGTGCAACACCATATGATACAATTTAGTTGACCCGATGTGATATCGTTATTTATAAAAAATTATACATAAAAAAGTTGAATGGTAGAAGAGAATCTTTTTGCTTAGGCAAAGTTTGCTCTCTCGTAGACACAGGCATTAGCCAGCATTTAGGAATCGGCATTCCGCTACGAAATAGATTACGTCTTTTTGTAATTCCAGCAGGTATGGAAATCACAAATTCGCAGAGTCTCTCGCACTAGAATTTCTGTTAAAGCTCCCGACTGGAGCAAACAGCACTGCAAATTGCAAATGGGATCTAATTGCTTTCACGCTTTACTTACAACCGCAGTTACATTTTAACGAGCATCGACACGTGTGTTCTCTACTCGCAGTCAGGCACCCTAGTAAATTCACGTTGTTCACGGAGCTCCGGCAAAGTACTCCCATTGCGCGCTCCAATGTACCAACAGCTTCCACACGCCTATCCAAGCTTTCTCACATGGTTGTCTGAGGATTTTCGAATTATCAAAAAATCGGTAATAATCATCCGGGAAGCGTTAGGTGTACACGTCTGCTCTGTCCTTTGGAAAATGATCGATTTACAAGTCGAGAAGCTAACAAACACGATATGCCTATTATATTGGCTTTCGTATAGAGCAACAGCAACGCTCCTTTTTACATGAGAAGAGCGCCCGTGTGCGACACTATGGTGTGATCGTTCATGTGTTTGGCTCGATGATACAATTGTATACTCAGCGTGAGTCTCGCTCCTTCGAGTACAAGTGGAGGTTTGTGTTGGTTAGCGACGTCCATTAGTCGGGCGCGCGCCTATGCCCGGGATATCCGTGTTCCATCCATCCATCGTCGCCAGAGCACCTCGCGACGATCAGAGTGTCCTTTGTCGTGGACACTAGCGCACCTTTTCTATCTTCTTTTCAGCCCCGTACGGTACATTGCGTCTCCCTTCCTTCAGCGAGAACAGCGAAATCAAATTTCTCTCCTCTCAACCACCACGCCTCTTCATTTCACTGTCGGCTGGTTACACTGCTTTGCTTCTTCGATTTCCTAGACGAAGTCTCGCTGCCAAGTCGCTTGCAGCTGAACGACAAACTCGGTTTGGCTGGACTCGATTCGGTTCTGTATCGCTCGGTTCAAATTAGCCCCCACTACTATTAATCTCGACTCTGCAAAGCAAGATAAGTGAGAGGCTAAGCGAGAGCCAGATGCAGCCCGATGCGATATCCAGCATGAACCAATCAAGAAATCTTTCCTTCCAGCATGGCCAAACTAATTACAGCCTCTAAACGATTCTGCCAGAAGCAATTCCTACGCGAGATTCGCGAGACTCGATCTTGTGTGGGGAACTCTGTTCTTTGGAATGAAGACATTTCCTCAGGCGTGTGCTGCTTTTGTATTCTGTCATATAATGGAGAGAAAGAGAGAGAGAGGGAGAGAGAGAGAGAGAGAGAGAGAGAGAGAGAAAGAGAGAGAAGGAAAAAGAAGAAGGAATCATGTAAGCGCGAGACTTGCTGTATGGAAGCCGTATGGTTGCATCTAGAAAACACTGAACTTAACAGGATTAGTCCTGGTGCAATTGAAGTAAATCCAGTCCCCGTTGTTCCCAGAGATTTCGTAGACGATATCTCATCGATATACAAGGAATAAGCAGAAGCACCAAAACTTAGAGATATTGCTGCAATGAATCTCGCCACGAAAAGTATAACTACGAATTCAAACGAGGCTTTGATCGCAGCTTTACTATTTTTTCGCTCTACCTAAGCGCAAATGTATAGGTACATGAAAATTACTTTTATTATTGGTTTTTATTTTATGTAAGTGCATGGTTCTCTGAAAATGAGATGACATTGCAATCGTCGAGCTAGCACAATTTCGTATGTAGGTTAGAGAATCGGATAAATTCGATTAACCCGAAAGTTTCGATAACAACTTGCGTTAAACTAACGCAATTACCGCTAATTCCAATTTGTCACCAAGTAACCTGCGAGCGAATAACTTTCAAGAAGAAGAATACAGAATCGAAGCGAACGAACTAGGTCAATTGCAGCAAAGTCGAGTCTCGTGGGGTCGTGCCATTCCTTGCTACTCCTTACTATTTCGATTCGCTTCTAGCTAAGGTAGAATATTATTCTATTTCTCAACGTAGGTAGACGTAGCTAAATTTGGTATCAAGAAAGAAAAAAAACTCTCGTCAGCCTGGAAGATAACTGAGACATCAAAAAAAAGCATATTTTTCTTGCTGTCCAGTCGAGGCAGTGGATAAACCAAATCGGCTTATGAACACGCAACATACATATGCACTTTATGATCTATATGATGATTATGAACAATAAATAATACTGTTAAAACGTACCATTATAGTTGTTTGAATTGCTTAAAAGGTTAGAATTTTATTAAATGTTAGAGAGCAAGTACATAAGCACATTGCTCAACAACTGTCGGTCACACTCCGCTCTGCACTAGCAGTGTCGATACGTCCAGTCTTGCGTTAGTTACTTACGACAGCCGAAGTTAAACAGAGGGCACCACTTTGCAGGGAGAGTCTCACCGGAAATCCTCTTTTAACTTTTTAAGGGTGTGTTCCGAAATGTACTGACATTACTGTAAAAGTAATTACTAACTCTCATAGATGCGTATGGACAGGATAATAAGGACACAGCATTGGTTACAGTAGTGTCAGTACTGTCGGTACATTTCAGAACACACTTTGCTACAGGGTACCACAACTAAGATGGCTGAAAATAGTCAGCTATCTCAGGTGGTTAACACTTTGTGAAATTGAATTCTCCAACAGTATGTTTTCGTTTTTTGAGTAGTTGTCAAAAGTTATAAATCTGTGTTACGTTACGTTAATTAAAAATTTTCTTTCAGAGTATTAAAGCCATTAAAAGGGGTCCGTAAATCAGACGTTTCTTGTAAATTTCGCTGCGAAAATGCTAACTGCAGCAACAAATACTCTAGCAAATAACGGAGGCTCCTACAGTAATGATAGGCCATCGAGTGCAGGTGAGCCAGAATCGGCTACAGATCTTGCATCAGGAGGATTCTTTCATGCTGATTATAAAAAGTATGTAAATCCTACTATCAAGTAAGCATTGGCATTATCATTGGGTTACGATCATTAGCAAATTTAGAGATTTATATGGTATCATGTTTATAAAAGTAATATGTTTAAACTCTGTAGGCATGAAGACCTCAAACAAATGTTGGACAGTAATAAGGACAATCTTAAACTTGAAGCTATGAAACGAATTATTGGGGTAAGGTATCAGATTTACGATTATCTCAATCAAAATTTAACTAATTCTATCAGGATTCAAAAAGTGGAACCTGTAACCCAAACGACAAAAAAAAATTGGCCATAATTTTCAGATGGTAGCAAAGGGGAGAGATGCGTCTGACTTATTCCCAGCTGTGGTAAAAAATGTTGTTTCAAAAAATATTGAAGTTAAGAAACTGGTATATGTTTACTTGGTTCGCTATGCTGAGGATCAACAAGACCTGGCCCTCTTATCAATTTCTACCTTTCAAAGAGCTCTTAAAGATCCAAACCAGTTAATAAGAGCTAGTGCTCTAAGGGTACTCTCGAGCATACGAGTTTCCATGATTGTTCCAATAGTAATGCTTGCGATTAAAGATTCTGCAAGTGATATGTCACCTTATGTTCGAAAGACTGCAGCTCATGCTATTCCTAAACTGTACTCCTTAGATCCTGAGCAGAAGGAGGAATTAATAAATGTCTTAGAGAAACTCTTATCAGATAAAACTACGCTGGTAGTTGGCTCAGCAGTTATGGCCTTTGAAGAAGTTTGTCCAGAGAGAATAGATCTCATTCATAAAAATTACAGAAAATTATGTAACTTATTGGTGGATGTAGATGAGTGGGGACAAGTAGTCATTGTGAACATGTTAACACGATACGCACGAACGCAATTCGCCAACCCCAATACTAATGTAAGTTGAAGATCTTAGAAGGAATTCGAAATAGTATGTCTCTCGTAGCAGCAAATCTTTAATACATTGATTGCATACGTCGCAGGAAGTTGAAGAAGATGAGAACCGACCATTTTACGATTCGGACTCAGAGTCGTCAAACACGAAAAAACCAAAGTTCACCCTAGATCTGGATCATCGTCTGCTATTGCGAAATACGAAACCACTTTTGCAAAGTAGGAATGCATCTGTCGTAATGGCCGTAGCGCAGTTGTACCACCATACTGCACCGAGAAGTGAAGTCATGATCGCCGCCAAGGCACTAATAAGATTATTACGCGGACACAGAGAAGTGCAAAGTATTGTACTTCACTGCATCGCCAGTATATCAATTGCAAGAAAGGTAACTCAAGCGATTCGCAAGCGATATGAAAGGTAGATGGAAGGCTGTGAAGAATTCCTTGTTATAGGGCATGTTCGAGCCATTCCTTAAATCTTTCTTCGTCAGAACTTCAGATCCGACGCATGTAAAGCTATTGAAACTAGACATTCTGACCAATCTTGCGACCGCTACCAGTATTGGTGTGATCTTGAGAGAATTTCAGACGTACATCTCAAGCAGCGACAAGGAATTCGTCGGCGCTAGTATTCAAGCGATTGGGAGGTGCGCGAGCAACATAAAGGAAGTCACCGATACTTGCCTCAATGGACTTGTATCTCTTTTAAGTAACAGAGACGGTAAGAGCATGTTAGCACTATAACATTCAACATATACGGGAGAAAAATAAATATTGCGATTCTTCCTAAACAGAGGCCGTCGTGGCCGAAAGTGTCGTCGTTATCAAAAAGCTTCTGCAAACTCAGCCAAACGAACATAAGGACATAATTGCACATATGGCGAAACTAATGGATTTCATAACGGTGCCACAAGCAAGAGCATCTATTTTATGGCTGTTGGGAGAATACTCGGATCGCGTGCCAAAAATAGCGCCAGACGTTTTAAGAAAAATGGCAAAGAGTTTCATAAACGAACAGGACATTGTCAAGCTACAGATATTGAATTTAGCTGTGAAATTGTGTCTGACAAATCCTACTCAAACAAAACTGCTGTGCCAGTATGTTTTTCAGCTGGCGAAGTACGATCAGAATTACGATATCCGGGATAGGGCTCGGTTTTTGAGACACTTCATCTTCGAGACCGAGGCTGCTTCCGAGAAGAAACTCATGCAATTTGCTAAAAAAATATTCCTCTCACCGAAACCGGCACCAACCCTAACATCTAGATTTAAGAATTCACAATTTCAGTTGGGAACGCTATCCCACTACCTGGATATGCCATGCGTTGGACATCGTCCCTTACCACAGTTTCCTGAGGTTGTTCCTGACCCTTCAGTGCGCGACGTAGCAGAACCAATGAGTGCTCATGAAATTAAGGATGACCGACACACTAGAAAGGAAAGGAGGAAGGACAAGAAGTCCAAGGAAGATGAGGCGAGATTCTTATTCACAGCAGATGAAAGTAGCCCCTCCGAACGTGAGCCTCTATTTTATAAAAATCTATTTCAACCTGCTCAGGTTACGTTGGAGCTTGGGTATATGTGTAATTTTTAGAGATTAAAGAGAACATTATAGTTTCAGAATCTGAAAGTGAAAATGACAGTTCAGCATCTTCGTCGACTGAATCTTCTGACGGTGACTCCTCCGAATCCGCATCGGAATCTGAGAAATCCGATAGCGAGGAGCATCAAAAGAATGTCGTTAAGAAGTCTGAGGATTCTGAGAGTGAGTCCGACACTGATGATTCAGAGAGTGAGGATGATGACTCGGATTCACAAGATAGTGATAACGAGAGCAAACGAGATGAAAAGGCAAATGTTGGAAAAGGGGAGATGAAAGAAAAGCCAAAGAGTAATCTTGATTTACTGCTGGATTTAGACGATGGTGAGTCGAAAAATTTGAAGGCATTCATTGATCATGTTTATGTTAAAAAGCAAATCGATAGAACTAATAGAATGACAATCATTTTTAAGTAACACCAATGACACCTATAATGACGCCAAGCCTCGGCGGTTTTCTTACTCCAATAAATTCAACTCTCTCGAATGGAGTCAGTGAAGTTTCAACTTCTTTTATACCGACAAAGAAATGTGAATTGTTGAATAAAATCAGTGGCAAAGGATTGAGGGTTGAGTATAGATTCACGAGATCGCAACACTTGGTTAGCTCACATATGGTTAACATAGAATTAACATTTACAAACGAAGGATCTGAGACGATACACGACATTCAGATTGGAAAGAAGGTAAGAAGATTAATACTGACGAGGGAGGAGGAGAATATTGGTATGATTTGATTGTCATTTCAGAATTTACCTTCGGGAATGTGTCTTCATGATTTTATGCCGATACCTACGCTGCAACCAAGCGCAACGTTATCTTCAACATTAGGTGTCAATTTCAATGATTCCACGCAACCAGCGCCTTTCGATATCGATTTTACAAAATCAGAGGAGAAACATTCGTGCTCCGTCAGCATAAAGGTGCCAATTGGTGAAATAATTAGATCGGTAATGCTGCCAGAGAGTATGTTTCTCTCGGAAAAAGAGAAGCTTAAAGGCATGAATGAGCATTCAACGAAGTTGACATGCTTGGGGAATCGTAAACAATTATCTCAAAAAGTTTTCGAAGCTGCAAACCTTGCTGTCATATCAAGTCAAGACGATGTAATAAGGTGGGTTTAACGTATACATCATTTTGTCGAAGCTTCTTCTGATTATGAGAATTTGCACTGTTCTCGAATAAAGCATCATGTTTACACAGGTTTGCTGCGCATACGCTGGCTTCGAAGTCACTCGTGTTAGTGACAATGAAAATATCGGAAAATGATCAGCTCGAACTGTGTGTCAACTGCGAAAAAATGGTTATAGCATCCATGCTCTTAAACGAGCTTAAAAGTAATCTCAAGTAATTCCAAGGGACACACCAATTCCTCTAACTATATTATTGTTATTATCGTTGTTATTATTACTCATTATACTATCACAAGATATTACTGGTAAACATTTAGTTATTTACATCGCTCAGTGCTTTTCAAGAAAAATGTACGTTCTCTATTGTATTTCATTACAAATATATTATACGCGCTACCAAGTGTATATCGCTACTATACATATATATAAATATATATATATATCTTTATTTCTAATAAATCATACATCCATTTATATGAACGTTATCCTGAGATACGTTTTTTCAGGAGGAACCATATCAATTTTCGACGACCTTCATCTCCAACCCCTTCAACTTCCCAAAAGTGTAAGCGGCACTCCTTGCGCTCGGATAAAAATCGTGTCAATACTATAAATTACAAGTTTTATTAATTACCTATACAACATCTGTATATCATCCTAGTTTTCTTCCTACCTTTGCACATACCGTTGGATATAGGTCTCGAAAAGCCAATATCCTCATTCGGAAATCGTCTAACAAGATCCGACAAAAGTTCCAGGCCAAATCCACGGTTTCTATACTGAGATCTAATGTATGCAGTATCCAAAGTATGCATTTCGTATTTTTCTTTCGTCACGCGTATCTCCGTTCCTAGAGACAAGAAACCCACGAGGAGTGATAACCGGTGCGATCGATAATTAAGAGAGTTGGACATTCACGAACCTTTAGGTTTAATCGTATAGAAACCGATTGCCTTGCCCCCCAGCCATTTCAATATGATTTTATCACATGGATCAGCCAAGTCGTAAAGAGACTCAAATTTGTCGATCCTTGGCGTATCCAATTCCGGATATATTATTTGGCACAAAATATAATATATTATTCTTTCTCGTCGAGTATCTGCCTACCAGAAATCTCGTTATTCATTAAATTCCGATAAGTTCATGAAATTTGTGTCTAAAAGAAATTACCTCTCTCCAGCTATTATCGATATTATCATTGATAATTTCATCGACAGCAACAATATCGTTATTGTTGTCTTTAACTGCTATAAAAGTAGCGCAGATGTTACAATCAAGGCGGAAAATATTTCCAGGCATGAAGTATTCAGACAACTGAACATGCCTTGTTTGGACCTTGACGCGTTTGCTACACCTGCAATTAATGAATACCTAACAACTCAGATTAATATCAGTAGTTATCATACTGTTTGTTGAACGGACGTTTTACCTCGTGCAATTCATTGTTGCTTCCACAATAGTATCTATTTTATATGATAATACACTACAGAAACAAGTCAGACTGTCAAATACGGAATACAACCCATAATTGCGTACTAAATTAATCCCCAGTAAACAGTCGTAATTCCTATTTATCGACATAATAAGAATGTCAAGTCACTTGCGTAATTTGAACATTCCACACGTAGAAACGTCTAACATGGTACATCTGATTTGCACGAAACTGCAATATACATCTGGTAGGTTTATATGGACGAGGCATTAGGTAATGTGCCGTTGTCAGAGATGAGCAGGGAGATTTTCATGTTCCAAGCGACAGAGATGAGTAGGGAGATGTACAACGCTACGGTTTTAGGCGATACCAAAAACATGAAGCTAAATCCTAGCGGCGAGTCCGGGAATAGAATTTTGTGATCATCGCCTCCGTCGATAACGCATATCCCGTCGTAGCCGAGCTGAACGTGATCACGAACGGGTAGCCTGGCGGCAGAGTCCTCCGCTACTTATCGCTGGTTCCCAAAGCAACACTTAGAACGAGACAACTCATCGGATATAGCCTAAATACTTTTTTTCTTTGCAATCCTAAATTCGATCGCACAGTGTAAGCTCGGTAAGTTTAATATGACAAAAGCAAGCAACTCGTGTCTGCCTGCACTGAAGCGTATTATGCCACAAGCATATTTAATACATATTTTACCGATATTGCGTAGCAGAACGATTGTTGAAACCTATCAGGAACTCTAAAACTTCTCGAGAACTATTGAAAAAGCCTATTGTTGAATCATTTTCAAGA